CGCCGCGGTGGCAGTTGACACCCCCAGGCTTATGGTCATGAGGGATTTTAACTTGCCATCTGTGGGTGAGACATCTGAGGTGGCTCAGGAGTTCATGGCTTCCATGACGGCTATGGACCTGACCCAACTAATTCATGGCCCTACCCACACGGGGGGAAACACGCTGAACTTGCTTTTTGTCTCTGGACAGTGGTTGAGTGATCTCGAGATAGGGGATATAGTCACCGAGCCCTTGTCATGGTCGGATCACTCTCTCCTTCACCTTGACCTTCAAACCGCTGCACCTCACCACAGGGAGGCGGAGCCGGTAAGATGGTTCCGCCCCAGGCACCTGATGGAGCCTGACAGGTTCCAATTGGAGCTTGGGCCATTCCCTGAGGCTCTGGCTCACGCCTCGACTGGAGACCCAGTGGCCGCCTGGGATAGAGCGGCCGCTGGAGCTTTGGATCGGGTCGTGCCTTTGCGGTCTCTGACCCGGCGCCGGTCTCACTTGGCCCCTTGGTTTACTGAGGAGCTGAGGGAGATGAAGCACTGAAAAAGATGACTGGAGAGCAGTTGGAGGGCCAGTCTTTCTGAATCCAACCAAACACTGGTAAGATCTCATATTAAGAATTACCTAGTGGCGATAAAAGCAGCAAAGTGTAATTATTTTGCTGCTCTTATTGCATCATCAGAGAACCGCCCGGCCACCCTGTTTAGGGTGACCCACTCCTTGCTCCACCAGGGAGTGCGGGAGGACCCCTTGGAGGGTAGAGCTGAGGACTTTGTACAGTATGTGCATGACAAAATCACTCAGATTCGGGAAGGCCTGGACTCCGACTGGGTAGTTTCAGGGGGGGATGACTGAGGCAGGTCTTGAGAATGTTATCTGGGATGAGTTTGATCCTGTGACTCCTGATGACGTGGACTGGGTAGACTGAACGCAACCACATGTTTGTTGGACCCGTGTCCCTCCTGGTTAGTGCTGGCTTCTCGGGAGATGATGCGAGACTGGCTCCAGGGGATTATAAATGCTTCATTGAGTGAGGGTGACTTCCCCACCATCTTGAAAGAGGTGGTGGTGAGGTCTCTCCTCAAGAAGCCTTCCCTGGACCCGGTAGTGTTGTCTAATTACCGTCCAGTCTCCAACCTTCGCTTTGTGGTGAAGGTTGTTGAGAGTGTGGTTGCGCGACAGCTCCCCCAGCACCTGGATTAAACGGCATATCTGGATCCGTTCCAGTCGGACTTCAGGCCTGAGTACAGTACGGAAACGGCATGGGTCACGTTGGTTGATGATCTCTGGAGGGCTTGGGACAGAGGTTGCTCCTCTGTCCTGGTCCTATTAGATCTCACAGCGGCTTTTGATACCATCGACCATGGTATCATGCTGCACTGGTTGGAAGAGTTAGGGGTGGGGGGCACTGTGTTGCAATGGTTCTCTTCCTTTCTCTCCGACCGGTTGCAGTCTGTGTTGGCAGGGGGGCAGAGGTCGACCCCGAGGCGCCTCATATGTGGGATGCCACAAGTGTCGGTCCTCATGCCCTCGTCACTTCCCACCTGGACTACTGCAACGCTCTCTACATGGGGCTCCCCTTGAGGAGCATCCGGAGGCTCCAACTGGCGCAGAGTGCGGCCGCGCGGGTGGTTATGGGAGCGACATGGCGTTCCCATGTAACACCTCTCCTGTGCGAGCTGCACTGGCTCCCAGTGGTCTTCCGTGTGTGCTTCAAGGTCTTGGTTACCACCTTTAGAGCGCTCCATGGCTTAGGACCTGATTATCTACGGGACCGCCTGCTGCCACCAGTAGCCTCCCACCGGCCGGTACACTCTCATAGAGAGGGGCTCCTCCGGGTGCCGTCGGCCAAACAATGTCGACTGGCGGCCCCCAGGGGGAGAGCCTTCTCTGTGGGGGCACTTACTATCTGGAATGAGCTCCCCCCAGAGATACGGAGGATCCCGGATCTACACACCTTCCGCTGCGCTCTCAAGACCTTTTTATTCCATCATGCTGGCCTGGCCTAATTTTTCCCTTTTTTCCCTTTTTAAAACGCAAATTTTAATTCGTTCTTAATTTATTGGGGTGTTTTAAATCTGTCTTTGGCCAAATTGTTTAATTCGGTTTAATTCAGTTTTAAATTTTGTATTTATGTGTTTTTATCCTGTGGCTGTTCACCACCCTGAGTCCTTCGGGAGTAGGGCGGTATATAAATCAAATAAACAAACATAAACAAACATATCTTCCTATTAGTTTCCAAGAGATTATCTCCAATCAGCTTGACATTCATGATAGAATGAAGAAAGGGTGGGATTAATCTTTTTATGTATTTATTTATTTTACTATGTCCAATGATTCACTCTATGTAAGAGTGAAATTAACTCCCACACCAACATTTGCCTTGTAAAATTCACTCCCCCTACGTGATGTAGGGAGGGGAAAATAAATATTTACTCCAGTTGGTCCACAGGTTGTTGGCAGAGTTAAAGTTACAATGCTGCGGCAACTTTTTCAAAACAAAACTTAGGCTAGGAGTAGAGGTTAGGGAGAGATGTAGCATCTACCAGTGTAGAAATGAGTTCATTTCTGGCCATTTTTGGCTGGCATAGAGGACAACAGGAGCAGTTGCCCAATATGGATATGAAACCCTATTTCAGATGAACTAGATACTGCTCATGTTGGAGCTAAAAGTGGACAGCCATGGATTTTCTCCTAGAGCTCCTTTTTTATGCCTTTGGAAACAGAGCTCTGGAGGGAGAGAAGGTAACAGGTAATCCTTGATTTACAACAGTTCATTTAGTGACCTTTCGAAATGGCACTGAAAAAAAGTGACTAATTACCATTTTTCACTCTTACAACCATTATAGCATCCCCATTTTGATCATGTGATCAAAAGTCAGACCCTTAGCAACTGACTCGTATTTATGACGGTTGCAATGTCCTGGGGACATGTGATCACCTTTTGACAAGCAAAGTCCATGGAAAAGTCAGATTCATTTAACAACCGGGTTACTAACTTAACAACTGCAGTGATTCACTTAAGAACTGTGGCAAGAAAGGTTGTAAAATGATGCAAAACTTACTTAACAAATGTCTCACTTAACAATATAAATTTTGGGCTCAATTGTGGTCGTAAGTCCGCTTTGCTTTTTCGGCTGTCACTTTACAGCCAGAGAATGAACAAAATGCATCCCTTTAAAGTGGGTGAGATCCTAACAGATTTGATTTGGCTACTTGTGAGTAAGAGAAGAGAAGTGGGGTCCAGCATGCTTTAGATTCTGCCTAATGCTGCTAGGTTGATGCTTACGGATAAACTTTGTTTACTGATTGCTTCATGCAGCACCATTCAAAGTTATGATAGTGCTGAAAAAATGGCTTTGCAAGGAAGGGATGCATTTGTGACCTTTGCAGCATCTTTCTCTCTCAGTCACATGTTTGCCATTACTGTCAATATGTGTTGTCCTGTGCCTGACCTTTTTTTTGTTGTTGTTCTGTCCCTCCACCTCACAGAGTGGAAAGATTGGAGAGAAAAGGATTACAAGAGAGTAAACAGACACACAATGGAGAATACACATTGAGAGTAATGCAGTAGCACAGCTGTTTGTCTATCATATTTGGGCTTACTCCAATGGTGGAATTCACCGGTTGTAACAACCGGTTCACTTTGCGTGCCCTCCGGGGACTTCTGGTACTTCTGGTAGGCCCATTTTTCACCCTCCTGGAGGCTCCAGGAAAGCCTCTGGAACCAGGGGAGGGCGAAAACGGCTTTCCCCAGGCTCCAGAGGCCTTCCGGAGGCTGGAAACAAGCCCACTTCCAGTAGGCCCATTTTTTGCCCTCCCAGAGCCTCCGTGCGCACCCTGCACTTACCTAGCATCCAAAACGGGCCACGTGGAGACTCCTGGGAAGGGCAGGGTGGGATGGGCAGGGTCAGCCAGACTTGGTACAACCAGTTCGCCGAACCAGATTTAAATTAGCATCCGGTTCGCCCAAATCAGTCTGAACCGGCTGAATCCCACCCCTGGCTTACTCTCTTGTAATCTCTTCCTCGCTGATGAATGTACATTACAATTCTCTTAGTAATTAAGCAAACGCTGGGGTAAATGTTCCAAAGGGTGGGTGAAGAAGCTAAAATATAATTGTAAACATAGTTGAGCTTATATGATTTTCCAGTTAGCAACCACCCCACTTAGTGATCAAGTTGCCAGTCTCAATTGTGATTGCCAAATAAAAACTACCTGTACTTCAAGTTGAATCCCATGACTTTTTTTTTAAATCAAAAAGCAAACTGAATGGGTAGCCTATGTAAACACACTTTAATGCTTTCTCTTATATTCTTTTCCAGTGAAAAATCCTCATTCTAATGTTGTAGTCATCCTGGTACGATTATTAGACTTATCTTTAAGTTCACCCTGGCACCGAATCTTAATTTCTGCTGCAGTTGCTTAAAAATATGCACCCCTAACTTTGGAACTTTAAATAGTCAGTAGCCTGATGCCAAATTCATTTTCTTTGCTATAGAACTGCACTTCTGCTGGCAAACTGGGAGTGGTTACTGAAGTACAGTATGTTCTTAATTTAAAAATTACTAGTTTGCAAGATTTTACATTTGATTTGCCTATGGTTTCATCTAGTTCCATGCAGTTCAACTATTCCATTATTTTTTTTAAAGGGAATAAGAGAAAAGCAGTAAATGAAGCCATTCTACTCGACCCAGGAAAATTTATGAAAGAATGCAACAAGGGGGGGCTACATTGATTCACAGAGAGTGCAGGAAGGAAACTTTTATAGATAGAAGAGAATATTTTTAGCTCAGGGTTGAACTGCGGGGTCCTTAGTGCTCTCTGAGCTTGGTTAGCACTGATGGTGCTGATGTTGTTACCTAGTTTGGTAATGAGACGCCTGCAAGAAAACAACGAAGATCAGAGAGCACCAAGGACCCCAAAGAAAACGTTTAACTAAAGACACAACAAACTTTAACCATCATCATATAGCATTAATGAGCAACATTATAAAAATATCTTGCAGGTACTACAAGGGGCAGCCACTTGTTTTTATGCCTTCATTGGTTTCGACATCATTGCTACTACAGGAGAAGAAGCCAAGAGTCCCAATACATCTATCCCATATGCCATCACTGCTTCCTTGGTCACATGCCTCGTGGCATATGTATCTGTAAGTAATGGATTTCTGGGTGAAATTTCTCAATGGAATTTTCTGCTTTGCAGGAGAGAAAAGGTGCATGTGACAGCTGTTTCCACACAAAAAAAAACCCCTGATTCAAATATTTCTCAGTTCAGCACTGCACTAGGAAGTTAATTTTCCCAACCAGGTAACCAGGACACACTGGGTTACAGCTCCCGCAATTCCCAACTAGCATCACAATAATTTATATCTCCAAGGGAAAAGAAATCAGAATTATTGGCTTTTCTTAAAGTAGTGGACAATCACTTAAACACAAGTGTTGCCGCTAAAAAAAAGCTAATACAATCCTTGGTTGTATAAACAGAGGCATAGAATCAAAATCACGTGAAGTATTAGTACCGCTTTATAAAGCCTTATAAAACCAGCTGGAATTCTGCTGTACGAATATGGGGATAATCCCTTAGAGCTGTGATGGTGAACCTATGGCATGCATGCCACAGGTGGCACACAGCGCCCTCTCTTAGGTCACACAAGCTATCGCCCCAGTTCAGCTCTGCCACGCATGCGCACATGCCTCCCCCCAGCCAGCTGGTTGTCAGGTCTCTGCCGTGCATGCTCGGGGGTGGGGCATGTGCGTGGGGACATGCATGCATGCGCCAAGGTGGAGCACATGTGGGGGGGCGCATTGCATTTTGGCCATTCTGGCATGCGTGCGAGCATTCGCGCCCGCAAGCATACACTTTGGGCAATTGATCCGGAAAAGGTGAGCCATCACTGCCTTAGAGAATGTTAAGGATATTGGTGTTGTGTTACCAACCAGCAGAGTAAATGCACATTATTCAAATTCAGTGTGGAACAGCTAGTTTTGACTTTTATGAAAAGACAAAGGAATTTTAACCGATAATTGAATGGGAAATTCAATTATTATCATTATTTTATTATTATTATAATATTATTTTATTATTATTACAGTTTGAGTGACAGGAAGGAGAGAAAGACATTTGTAACATTTTCTGTCTGAGAAAATAAAATAACCTGAAAGATGGGAGGGAGGGAGGAATTTCTTGTCCTATCCAGGCAGTGAAAGATGTTAGTCCAGGCTTGTTAACAAAGAATGAGATATGTTTGCTATTTCTAATTTTGTCTTTGCCTATTCTACATTCACATTCCATTTTACACACACACATTCATTATTCATACAGAAGGCACATACTGCTTGGATTACATATTGTCCCTATTTAAATAATCCTCCCATGCACATCTTTCATGTACTTACAGTTAACTGTTGTTGTAAAATGCTGCCTTATCCAACAACTCCATTTATCCTTTGGCTTTGCATACTGATGTTTTTTTTAAAAAAAATCTGAGCTATTGGAATATTCATAAACATTCCACAACTTCTCAGTAGCTGAGCCAACGGCAAGACGTGACTCCTTTTCAGTCAATGAAGCCAGAATTTAGTCACCAATAAATTACAGTATAAGGGCAGCTAACATTTGTTGCAGGTTTAAACTTTCTTTTATAGTATGGAATTATCTCCTTTTTAAATTTGCAAAACTAAAAGTTCTGTTTTTTTTAAAAAAAGGAAATAGTACTAAAGAGATGTTTAATTTTGTGTAGCAGAGTTTAGCATTTCACTGTTTCCTTATTTTTGTATTTCTTCAGTTTAGAGGGCCATCTGATTTCTAATCCTTCTGGATGGTTCACAATTTTAAAAAGGTAACAACAATGCAAAAAAAAAAAAACCCCAAGAAACAAAAACAAGATCAAGCATAGCTCAAAGACAAATATATATAAACAAAGGAAAAACTATCCAACTGACAAGCCCTCTGGAAATACCAATTTCTTGTTGTTCTCAACACACGTTTTGACCATATTAGATTAGTTAGCATATTAGCATATTAGATTAGTTAGTATTTTGAAACAATATACTGAAGTTCAGTATTAGTGGAACCCAAATTTGTTTTCATCCATGTCCCTCTCTCTAACTATACGTATGTATTCCTGTTTTTTTTACACTAGGTGAGCATTATCTTAACACTGATGGTGCCATACAATGAAATCGATACGGAATCACCCCTGATGGAAATGTTTGCAGCTCATGGATTTTATACGGCCAAGTTCATAGTTGCTATTGGATCCGTTGCTGGGCTCACTGTGAGCTTGCTGGGCTCTCTCTTCCCAATGCCTCGAATAATTTATGCTATGGCTGGTGATGGACTTCTCTTCAGGTAAGATATTAACATATCCACACCACATTGGCAACCACAATGCAAACGAATATGAATGTCTAAAAGGTAAAAGTTCCCCTCACACATATGTGCTAGTCATTCCCAACTCTAGGGGGTGGTGCTCATCTCCATTTCAAAGCCAAAGAGCCAGTGCTTTCCGAAGACGTCTCCGTGGTCATGTGGCCGGCATGACTAAACATGAAAGGCACACAGAACGCTGTTACCTTCCCACCAAAGTGGTCCCTATTTTTCTACTTGCATTTTTTATATGCTTTCGAACTGCTAGGTTGGCACAAGCTGGGACAAGTAATGGGAGCTCACCCAGTTACACGGACTAGAGATTCGAACCGCTGAACTGCTGACCTTTTGATCAACAAGCTCAGCATCTTAGCTACTGAGCCATCGTGTCCCTAAAATGAATGTCTAAAATACTTTAAATCCTGACAAGACGGTCGAGGTTCTCCTTGTGTAGTTGCTTTCTTCAATGCTGGGATAACATCTCAAAGCAGGTTATGCAGAAAAATGTGTGAACTATTTTCAGACAATGGAATGAATGTGACGGCCTTCCCATATTCTTCTCATCATCTATCAGCTTCAATGGAGAGAGGGTTGTGGTTTGTGTCTAATTCAAATTTCCCATTAAGTTCAAACTAGAAAATTCTAATTTTATTTATCTGTTTGGAAAATGTATACTCTATGGCCACCCAGTCACCAATAGTGACTCTGGCAGCTTACAAAACTTAATTAAATAATTGAGATAATAAGTCAGGATCTTCTCTAAGTTCTTTGGCTCAAATGTAATGGCAATTCTAGTTTATACTGGGATCTGCTCACAGAAGAAGTCATATGAGTACAATTCTTATCCATAATTCATCAATCATAAATGAATTCATGGACAAGGTTCCATTGTCTGTTGCCATATTCCACAGACACTGTGGTTCAGTGAGCATATAACTGAATTTTAACATATTTGGCCTATATCTAAAATCTAAATAATATAAGAAGCTTGTTTTAGAGTTGAAAGGTTCAGTGAGAAGGGACATGCATCGAATCCAAATTATGAATATTACTACGCCAAGAGTGTGTGTGGGACATGCAGAGCAAGCCATTTCATGTGGAGAAGCCAACTGAACTGGGCTGTGACTCATTTCAATATCACTAGGGTCTTTCAGAGGGCAAAAAGCTAAATTAGCAATGCAAAGCATGCTATCTGCAAAACTCAATTCTGAAATCTAAGAAAAAGAAATGACAAGGAAGTTTAGAAGGAATAGCTGGACATCATTTTCTATTTCCCCAATGTCTCATTCTGTTAAATGTTAATGAAGATCTGTATGTAACTTGGGGGATTTGAGTTCTTTTTTCCTTACAGATACTTTCCCTGCCCCATAAGCAAATAAAATAAATAAAGTGAGCTGCACACGGGGATATTGGAGGTGGGGTTGACCTTATGCCCTATTCTTCATTGAAAGTTTTAAGGAAGTTTTCAGACTTTCCTCCTGGTGTGTAATATGGTACAGTCTCTTTCTTCATCATGTTGTCCTCCAGACGCATGTAGAATATATCTTACAGAATTCAAAGTCAATATAGCTTTGATCTATTCTGACTGGGAATTTTATAGTCTTATTTCAGGGGTGTCAAACTCGATTTCATTGAGGGCTGCATTGGGTTTATGTTTGACCTTGGGGAGCCAAGTAGGTGTGGCTGGGGTGGGTGTGCCAGGATGGGCATCGCCAGCTTGACATCCTGCAGCAAAAACAGAGCCCTCACGAGCTCCATTTTTGCTTCACTGTTTCCCTGTGGGCCAAATCTAAGCATCCCCCTGGCTGGATTTGGCCCGTTGGCCTTGAGTTTGACACCCCTGGTCTTTCTCAACATACTTGAAGGACAGTAGATCATGAAATCCTATCCTACCCAATTCTCTTTGCATTGCCTCTCCTTAGTATTAAACAGGGAGTTGATGATAAGTAACTTTCCTTCTTTTCTCCCTAGATTCTTGGCCCATGTAAGCTCTTATACTGAGACTCCCGTAGTAGCGTGCATTGTCTCAGGATTTCTAGCAGCGCTTCTCTCCTTGCTAGTGAGCCTGAGGGACCTGATAGAGATGATGTCCATTGGTACTCTGCTTGCCTACACATTGGTCTCCGTGTGTGTCCTACTTCTGCGGTACCAACCGGAGAGCGAAATCGATGGCTTCGTCAAATTCCTTTCTGAAGAGCACACCAAAAAGAAAGAAGGGATTTTAGCTGACTGTGAAAAAGAAGTTTGTTCTCCGGTTAGCGAAGGGGAAGATTTTGCAGGACCCCTCACCAACACCTGCGGTGCAAAGAACCTCCCTTCCTTGGGTGACAATGAGATGCTAATTGGAAAATCAGACAAGCCAACCTACAATGTCAACCATCCCAACTATGGCACAGTTGACATGACCACAGGAATAGAAGCAGACGAGTCTGAAAATATCTATCTCATCAAGTTGAAGAAATTGATAGGACCACGATATTACACTATGAGAATCCATCTTGGGCTGCCAGGGAAAATGGACAGGCCTACAGCAGCTACAGGCCAGACTGTTACCACTTGTGTCCTCTTGCTGTTTGTCCTTATGTTTGTCTTCTGCTCTTTCATTATCTTTGGAGTGGACTATCTTTATGACCAAAGCTGGTGGGCTATTCTTCTGGTGGTCCTCATGGTTCTGCTGATCGTTATGTTGGTTTTTGTTATCCTTCAACAGCCAGAAAACCCCAAAAAACTGCCTTACATGGCTCCCTGCCTGCCTTTTGTCCCTGCGTTTGCTATGCTCGTGAACATCTATCTCATGCTGAAACTTTCAAAGATCACTTGGATACGGTTTGCTGTCTGGTGTTTTGTGGGTACGTCCTGGATTTGAAATGGGAGTAATCAAAGCAGCCTTTCCTAATGCTGGACTGAAACTTTAATTCCTATCTTCTTCAAGGTTTTTCTTTATATCTCAAGTGTTTTTTTTTTATTAAGTTATTAGGTATTAAAAAATACAAAAGTAAATAAAAGAGTAATGAGGAGGGAAGGGAAAGCGGAAAGAGAAGTGAGGGAAGGTAGGGAAAAGAAAAGAAAAAAGAAGAAGCATTGACTTCCGACTCTCTCTGTTGCAGTAAAATAAGGCATTAGCATCAAAACACAACTTTTTGTTTTTCCATAATAATGTGAACAAGTCATTTCTATAAAGATCTTATCAACCTGATCTATAAAACCCAAAGTCAAAATTACATTCTTTTCCACATCAAGCACGAAGTTCAGAAGCGGTCTCCGTGTGGAAACAAAAGTACTTACGTTCTTTTCTATAGTCAGAATAGTAAAGTTTTGCCATTTCAGCCAACTCCATCAAGGTTTTCCTTGATTTGATGGTGCCTTCAGTGTTAGGAGCCGTGCTGGCGCAGTGGTTAGAATGCAGTATTGCAGGCTAACTGCCCTCAGCCAGGAGTTCGATCCTAGCTGGCTCAAGGTTGACTCAGCCTTCCATCCTTTCGAGGACCCAGATTGTTGGGGGCAAAATACTGACATTGTAAACCTCCCAGAGAGTGCTATAAAGCATCATGGGACGATATACCTGTATAAGTCCAAATGCTATTGATATTGCTATTTGGAAGCACCTTGCCTCAAAACCCTAAAAAGCCAACAGTGAAAATGTTCAGGCAATTCTCCCTGGCTTTGCAAATCATAGTTTATAAAGCCATGAGGAAACACCATGTCAGCTGTCCATAATGAGAGCTGCTGTCCATTCTGCATATCTCCAGAGCCTGAGAGAAACCTAGCCTACAGGTTAGCCTAGAGAAAGGAAATCTCTGAATTGGCTTTTCCAAAATCATTTGACTCAACATCCTGAGGCATACAGTGATTCCAGATATAGGTAATAAAACACAATTTATGACTTAGTCTACGTTGTCTGAATCCTGCTCATTAAGCCCTACTTAAACAATGACATTAATGAATGAATTATGAAATGAAATATAACTTCACTGGGTTGAAAAATAAATTATCTGGGACTATTCAAGACCACATTTACATGATGAACAATTGGAGCCTTAAGTAAAATGGCCTCTTGTTTAATCACATCCATTATTTACATTTTCACTGCATATGCAGATCGTTCCTTTGAATGGCTCTTTTTAATCTCTGTTTTTCTATGGCTAATTTTTGAATAATCTAGAGAGAATGGGTAGCCTCTCTGAAGTTTTAAAAAAAGTTAATTAGGTGATGCATGTAGCTTGTTTTGATCCATCTTCTTATGAAAAACATACCCTGTTTTCCTCCAAAATAAGACATCCTCTGATAACAAGCCCAATCGGCCTTTTGAGCGCATGGCAATAAGGCCAAGCTCTTATTTCAGGGTTCAAAAAAATATAAGACAGGGTCTTATTTTCGGGGAAACACTGTACAAGTGGGAAAGCTTAAAGAAAAGGAAAAATAGTCTGTCCTTCTTCAACATTGTTCTGCTTTTTCAGCCTGGGTGTCTTGTTTTGTAGCTGAACAATGCAATAAATAATACATATTTTGGTGGGGAGAAAGAATTCATTGTGGAAGAAGCAGGAACAACAGAACTGAGCCAATTATATAACTACCGGGCAGTATATATATTCCATACTTGAGTTGTAAATATTATAAAGTAAACTATTCAAGTTTATGGCAGTGAAGACAGTGGGCCTCTGTGCGTTGCCTCCTCTAGGCACTTCGTACTCAGGAGATGACCTTGTTCTCTGCCAGGCTATGAGGTAACCCAGTTTGTAGCAGCGAGGCGCTTCTTGTTGCCTCAGATACACAACATGCGGTTCAAGTTGCCTAAAGCGACCTCTCGGTATCTGTTGAAGTGTAAAATCTTTTTCCAGGCATTGGGGTTGCCCGGAGAGACCTCGGAAGCAAGGCCAAGTGAAGCAATATGACTGCCTTGTCCCAAAGGTGCTTTTCAAAAGGCAACTAGACTTTGTTGTCTTTTTTTTTCCTTCTTGTAAACATTTCACTTCTTATCCAAGAAGCTTCTTCATTTCAGACTTGAATGGTGGGGAATAGAAGGATTAAATATTCTTTGCAGTCGTCTTGGTAGTTAGCATTCAGAAGGTCGGTTGTTAGCTCTCTGTGGAAGCCACTTGGGGATTTATCTGTACTCTTGGGGCAGGGGTGGGTTCTACTTACCTTTACTACAGGTTTGCAACAGGGCCGTGTGCGCATGCTTGCTTCGCTTGTGCGTGTGTGCGCTCTTCTGTGCATGCGCAGAAGCATTTTGATGATGTCAGGGTCGGTGGGCAGGGCCTCCCACCGGTTTTACTACCGGTTCTATAGAACCAGTGCAAACTGGGGGCAACCCACCACTGTCTTGGGGTCACCAGAATCAGAATGGAAATGGGTGTGGAAACATCTTGGGACTGCTGAATGGTTCCACACCCAATGCTTAACACATTGTAAGCTGCCCTGAGTCTCCGGAGAAGGGCGGCATATAAATCAATTTTTAAAACAAAAAAAAAAAGTGCACTCTGATTCAGATGACCTTGAGGGTACAGATAAATCCCCATGTGGCCTCAATGACTTTCAGAGAGCTACCTTTAGAGCCGTGATGGCACACAGCCCTCTCTGCAAGCACACCAGCCATTGCCCCAGCCCATCTCTACCACATATGCGCGTCCCTCCTGTCGGGCAGCTGATCTTCAGGTTCCTGCCGTGCAGGCGTGGGGGGCAAGGCACATGCGGGAGACATGAATATGCATGTGGGGGGCGGGTGTATGCACCGGGGGGGGGTACAGGTTGATGCAGGAGGCTTTCCATTTGGCTTCCAGGTTGATGCAGGAGGCTTTCCAGGCCCAAAACGGGATGCAGGGGGCCTTCACGCAGCACCCCCTGTGCCCCATTTTGGGCCTGGAAAGCCTCCTGTACCAACCTGGAAACCAAAACAAGGAGCGGTGGGACAGGGTGAATGCAAGGGGCAGGGTGCATGCACGGGGGGTACTCACATTGCATCTTGGGGGTTCGGGCACGCACGTGCATTCACGCACACACGGGCTTTGGGCACTCGGCACCAAAAAGGTTAACCACTGCTAATGACCAGATGAGAGCAATGAATATAAATCCTTCTACTCCCCACCATTCAGTCAGAACTGAAGAAGCTTCTTGGATGAGAAGCACAATGTTTTCAGGGGAAAAAACCCAAGAAAGCCTAGTTGCCTTTTGGAAAAGCACCTATGGGACAACCATTACTTGGATGATGGAAAATCTTCATAGACATATGGCTGCCTTGCCTCGCTTTTAGAAGTAGGAGAAGAATTCTGCCTCACAGGTAGTCCTCGACTTACTATCACAAATGAGCCCCAAATTTCTGTTGTTGAGACATTTGTTAAGTGAGCTTTGCCCTATTTTATAACCTTTCCTGCCACGGTTTTTAAGGGAATCACTGCAGTTGATAAATTAGTCACCCAGTGACTCTGGCCTTCCCATTGACTTTGCTTTTCAGAAGGTCACAAAAAGTGATCACATGACCTTGGGGCACAACAACTCTCAGTTCCTAAGCATCTGAATTTTGATCACATGATCATGGGGATGCTGCAAAGGTCATAACTGTGAAAAATGGTCGTAAGTCACTTTTTTCAGTGCCGTTATACCTTTGAACGGTCACTAAATGAACTGTCGTAAGTCGAGGACTACCTGTACTTCCTGAAGCAGCTTGGAAGGGTTGTTTCACTTCAAACATTGTCAAAGTGAGATCCTTCCAAAGCTTTGTGTAGTCCTAATGTAGGTCAGCCTTCCTCTTTAGTAAAGGCGGATCAAAAAAGAAGAAAATAAATAAATAAGAACCGTGGGGCACAATGGTTAGAATGCAGTACTGCAGGGTACTTCTGCTGACTGCTGGCTACCTGCAATTTGGCAGTTCGAATCTCACCAGGCTCAAGGTTGACTCAGCCTTCCATCCTTCCAAGGTCGGTAAAATGAGGACCCAGATTGTTGGGGGCAATATGCTAACTCTGTAAACCGCTTAGAGAGGGCTGTAAAAGCGCTGTGAAGCCGTATATAAGTCTTAAGTGCTACTGCTATAATACTTTTTGTCTTGCTCCTGGCTTTTGTCAACTGATCACAGTTAAAATAAAACATGGCATACTTGGTACATGAACATAGTCACTGATGGGCCAAATTCCCTTCTCTTTTCCTTAGGGCTGCTGATTTATTTTGGCTACGGCATATGGAACAGTACGCTGGAAATCACAGCTCGAGAAGAAGCTTTGCACCAAAGCACTTACCAGCGTTACGATGTTGATGTGGATCCATTCTCCATTGAAGAAGGACTTGACTCCGCTGGGAATGAAAAGTATCAGGACTGGGATCCTGCTGATGATAAAGGTTTCTCTTACCAGCAGATGGCTGAAGGAAAGGAAAGCAGTCGGACAAGTAGCAAATCAAAGAACAAAGCCAAACACAAACCGAACTCAGATGCATTGATCTCTAATGATGAGTTAGACTACTCACCAGAGTAGTTGCGATAGAAATTCAACCATGTCATTTTATTTTATTTGGTCACTTGGGCTGAAATCCAGGGGGGGGCTGCATTCACACAACAACTGTTCAACCCAGTTACTGGATTCACTCATTTGGGGGACTAATAGTATGAACCATGGTGGCCTAACTCAATAAGCATTTCCACAACGTGGCAAGCTTCACGAGTTAGTAGCAAGCTCAACATATTGTGCAAATGCATTTGTTAGGTCTTTAAATGACCCGGTTAAGAGTGTTGTGTGAATCGAGGCCGCAACTTCTTTTAGCTCTCATTTGAAACCCTTCATTCTTATCAAGGTTTGGATCCTTCTGCCAGTAATTCTTTCACTCACTCTCTGCTGCTCAGGATGGTTCTGTCAAGGGTTCATCCTGAATCCACCAAAGGTCCAACTAAAGGAATCAAAACTGATTTCTCTATACACCACCCTCCCAGCCCTGATGTTATTTCATTTGATGTTGACAGCAACTGATCCTTTATACAACCTAGAAGAGCTTATGAAGCCTTTCTAGGAAACCCAATGCATGAAATGCCTCCTGTTGTTGCACTGACTTAAGCTTTTGCCACAAAAGGCATCCGACACACTATCAGCAACTTAAATCGGGTTCCATTGGTAGAGAAAACGTTAATATTTCCAATGCTTTCCTCACGAACAGGAGCAGACAATCTTTTTTTGTATTCAAAGACCATGTTTCTTTTCCTCCTCCTCCTCCTCACCTCTGTGGACTTCAGATGGCATGACAGTGATGTTGTGACATCATCCTAGGGGATCAAGCGACAACATTGCTAAATTAAGGAGAAGGGTTGGAGGCACTGGAATTTAATTGTAATAGATATGTTGAAATTAATGGCATCTTAATTACATTGATTCAGGTTTTTATTGTTTTCTGTGAAAAGTTATGTTCTGGGGGAGTGGAAAGAAGGCTAGGAGACAAATAAGGCCAAAGGATATGAGCTGAAGGCCCTTGCTGTAGAAAATGTGCCCAGGCTGGTGACTATCAAAGTCATCTGGCAAATAGATAAGACTTCCCTTTATTTAAAGATAAGATTGACAAATCAAGCTGATATGTTCAGGAGGAAACTATAGTATGTTCCCAAGGACACAGAGAAAATAGAGATCCAGTGGTTGGGTAAAACAAGTGCATCTTTTCACATACCGAAACATTACTTGCACTTTGGCACATTTTAACTTTTTCCCATTTGGATTTTGATTCCATACTTATTTTTTGTTTGTTTGTGCCACCTTGGCTAATCCCCACTGGCTTGAGTTTGTTTCCTGGTGAATCATGGTTGTCTAAAGAGTATGGTCATAAAAGCCAGGATGCCATCTCAATTGGTGCAACCAAAGTTCTACTTGGTTTGTATCTGCGTTACATTGCCCATGAAAACAAGCAGAGCTTCAATTGCACCAGCACATTTGCCTATCTTGACAATTATGATCATTCCTTGAAGATACCAAAGTGATTAATTATGACGGCACTACATGAATAGGACTAGATTTGCATCTCGGTTAGATTTTGGGTTGGCTTCTTTGAAAAGCTTAGTCTTTTTTTTTTTTAGACACGAGGAAATTTGGTTATCCATATTCTCTGATGTAAGTTATATAGATCAGAACAGTACACATTCTGTACAATGACAATAAAAAGTCAGTAGCATAACAGCAAATGCTGAAATTCAGTAGAATTACACATTACTGTTCTTTTTTATCCTATACTAGTTTAGATTAAGGTAGTGGAAATCACAATTGATTACTTCCTTACAGAATAAAGTTTTCCTGCATGGACAATATTGGACATGTCATTAAAGCTCTTCTACCATGTAATTTCCTAAGCACAAAAAAAAAAAAACCCTTATTTTATTGTTAAAATCATAAGAATAAGGTTATGGACCAGGACTATCTCAGTGCAGCATTTTGTTTCTCACACTGGCCAACTTGGTGTTTCCGAGATGCTTAAGCAACTGATAGAGACACCTCCTCCCACAAATTCTTCTCTGCAATTCATATTTGGATGCATCTATAGAACCGGTGCGAACCGGGGGGCAACCCACCGCTGCCCTAAAACCATCCAAATCAGTAGTCATCACCATGACTTGTGGCAATCAATTCAACATGTGAATGAGTTGCTGTATGAAGGAAGTGCTTAATTTTGCTCTTCAAATGCTCTTTCTCATCAGCTTCATTGGATGACCTGTAGTGTTTTGAGAAAGTGTGGGACAACTTGTCTCCATGCATGCATTGCTTTTGTGTAGTTCAGGCAAGATACCTTCAGATGCATGTTTTCTATGCTAAGGTCATGGCGGCGCAGTGGTTAGAGTGCAGTACTGCAGGCTACTTCTGCTGATTGCTGGCTACCTGTAATTTGGCAATTCAAATCTCACCCAGGCGCAAGGTTGACTCAGCCTTCCATACTTCTGGGGTCAGTAAAATGAGGACCCAGATTATTGGGGGCAATATGCTGTCTCTGTAAACCGCTTAGAGAGGGCTGTAAAAGCACTGTGAAGCGGTATATAAGTCTAAGTGCTATTGCTATTGCTAAGGTAAGGTCCCAAATTTCTTTTCCTTTAGGACGGGTGTCCAAGTCATTTAGCTTGTCCTTTTCTGCCAGATTTGTCCAGATGTATTATATCGTTTTACAATGTGACCACCAGAATTGTCCACAGTGTTCCTAACATGGATTTAATATGGAGTTATATAAAAGCATTACAATATATTCCAATTTCCTTTTTTCCTTTTATTCTTTATTTTTTCTTTGTTTGGGCTACCTTTATCCTGCCTTCTTAATTTTTCCTATACTCCTTAACATTACAGTAGGGGTGTCAAACTCGCAACGACATGCTGTTGTCATGGGACGTATCAACTTTTCTTCCTTCGCTAAACTGGGGTAGGCGTGGTCAGCGTGACGCATCCAGACCACAGGCCGTGAGTTGGACACCCCTGCTTTATAGGCTCTTTGGAATTATTAGAAATCTTCTGGAACTGGATTGACCCTTCCTGATATTGTAGAATGCATTCTAGTTGAGTCTTATTATGACTTTAAATAATTTATAGACATTATTGAGTGATGTGACCCACTTAATCCTTCCTTTCCATCTTTTATTCACCAATATCCTTGGCTTTAGTTCTTCCCTTTTGTAGTCAGATGTAATTGCATTGAACCCTGCAAGTAATTTCCCAGTTGGATGTAGGGTTTATGTAACAACATTGTGTTCACCGCTTGCTACCATCTCTACAACACTTAAGTCTTATATGAGATCATGGTCATCATCACTGTGGATTAAATCTAGGATTGCTTTTCCTTTGTTGAGTTCCAAGATCAACAGAGTTAATTCATAGTCATTTGGGAAATTTTGACTTCTTATCCAATGCATGAATGTAGCCAATCTCTGGTGAGACTCATTGACCAGACCTTCATCCCCCAGTAACATCAAGCAGCTTCTCAAAACTGTGCGTAATGTCTGTAGCAGTGGTGAAATGCACTTACCTTCACTACCGGTTCGGAAATGTAAAAGTGCGCACGTTGCTTTTCTCATGTGTGCCTCTTCTGCGCATGCGCAGAGGGTCAAAAACAGGATGTAATGATGTTCCGGCGGGTGGGTGGAGCCTCCCGCTGCTGGCCCTGCTGGTTTGCGCGAGCCGGATAGATCCGTCTGAATTTCACCACTGGTCTGTAGTCTTCATTAAGAAGACAAATTAACATGCAATTTATACATCCATCACTTGACCCATCTCTGCTTCTAATATCAAATTGCACACAACCAAAAACTTCTACCTTTCCCTGGAGAAGTAATCAGGTATGATAGAATGTAAATTTATTACCCAGTGATTAGGTCCCTTTAAAAGAAATACCTTATTCATTCTTGAGATGATGTCCTTCTTCATAAGGATCTTCCCTTTACCTTCATAGCAAAGGAGCTACCATTCGGAGTGTGAGATGAGGCTACATACCTCTCTGAGCATCTCCAACTCAGCGACCTTGGTTTCAAAGGAATGGACTTGTTTTTAAAAACAGAGAGCTCACTACATTGAGCACCATTATATAACATTACACACCCAATAGACAGCTTGTCAAATATTTGGCTTCCTCAAAGAGTGGCAAATTTACCCTGATGGGTTTTTTTCCCCCTCTGGGAGATTAGTATGATCCTTCCCCACTAAACTTCCTTAGAAAATTCCTCTGTTTTCTCTTGTTTTCTTCTATTTATTTGTTCCGATAATAAGTTCCCAAGTGCCTCTTAAGAGCCTTGCCTGAGGCTGAGATGTTCCTTGTCATTTTTATGAAATCTCCTACTAAATGTCTCTTTTATTCTGCTGTATGTTTCTGCTGATCAGACAGATCATCTCAACAATAGACCACTAAAAAGCGGGGAGGGGCTTTCCTTCTGAAAAAATATATAGAAAAATGGGGCTATTATCTTGCAGTCCTACCTGAGAGAATGCATCTCTTTTCCATTCCATTCCTTTGCTTCTGCAGCCATTAAAACTAACCCTACACCAAATTCTGTAGCCCAGGTTTATTGATAGGACTAAGACTCTGTAAGACTCAATATGAGCCTCACTTTTCTTCATCCCTTTGAGATTCACACTTGGAGTCTTATGAAAACCATGAGTTCACAAGTAGGAGATTGCAAAGCTCTTGACTTAAGCCCGTCATCATCTATTGAATGTATCTGCTGCCCAACTCCCAGCAACTCTAAAGCAAAGCTCAAATGAATATTTTCATAAGACGCGTAGGAGACTCATTTCATTCTGGTTTTTTTCCAAGTTTCTATTTAGCTGCAACAAGATATCCCTGTCTATGCCACCCTTCTCCAAAAGATCTTCTTCTTTAGCTATAATAAAATAGGACTTTGAACAAGAATAGAGAAACCCTACGACATTTCTATGGCTTAAATTCTCAAGAGTCCTAAGCAACAAAAACTCAACAATAATAGAATTTGTAATCAAACATCTAGAGGAACAACAGCCCCCCATCCTTGTTCTAGAGTCCCTCCTGGTGTTGTCAACCCAAGCCAAAATGGCTAATGATCAGAAATACTAGCAGTTGTAGTTCAAGTGAAACCACCACTTACCCATCCAGACTAACAAAGCTAGGCTGAAGTTGGTCATTTCTATTGGGATCAATGTCAATTTAATATGCTATTGATAATAAGATTTAGGGAATAGGTGAAGACTTTGTTGTTCTGTGGTACAGGAAAATAAATTAATTCTTCTTTAGCTCAGATCGTGGTGCCATGGCTGCTGTTTAACTTTCTAAACTACACATGAATTACAAATTTGGAGATTTTGTCATGTTTGTTCCAGATATTTAATTATCAATGTTTTCTTGCTCCAATATTGATTTGAACTAAATTCTTCTCTCTTAAAAAAAAAATTGTCCTTTATGAAGCCCCTTCCCAAGTTTTTTTGCAGAGCTGTGTTGGAACCAGATTTAGAAGTTTTTAGAACCAACTCAATAAAACCAGTAGAACTCAACTGGCCATACCTACCTTGAGAACCATTGATAGATCTCCTCTATTCTCATCATTACAAATAATTGCTGTTCAGAGTTCTGCATCCCAGTTCAAACCCTAATTTGAAGATGTAATAACCAATTTCAATACTTCACAACTAGAAAAGTAATCTGTTTTGCATGTAGACTTACGATGTACCGCAGGGGTGAAATCTACTTACCTTCCTTACCGGTTCTGAAGTGCACACACATGTGCATGCAGACCTTCTGTGCATGCACAAAACCTTCTGCGCATGTGCAGGAGATAAAAAACACATTACTTCCTAGTTAAAACTGGGTAACCGAACCACCGGCCAAGATCGCTACCAGATCGGGCGATCTGGTCCAATCCGGGAGCATTTCACCCCTGATGCACCGTTAGAAGCTGTTTGCCTTGGACGTGCTTCATTGGGATGGCTCTCTTCCAGGGGTAAAATTCACTTACCTTCACTACCGGTTCACAAATGTAAGCGCGCATGCCTCCTCCACGCATGCGCAGAGCCTTCTGTGCATGCGCAGAGGGTAAAAAACGGGATGTGATGACGTCTGGGCGGGAGGGCGGAGCCTCCCACCGCTGGCTCTACCGGTTCGCCCGAGCCTGATAGAACTGTCTGAATTTCACCACTGCTTTCCTCCCTGTCTTCCTTGACTGCTACCACTAAAGTCATGGAAACACTTTCTAAGGTCAAAGCTACAACCAAAAACAGGATACAGTATAGCTCAATATCGCTCCGCTGCTCTTTATGAAGGAAACCATGAGAATCTATCATGGATCAATCTTTGGATGGATTTTGATAGCATGGAATCGGTTTGCACATGCATGATTATCTTTAGGTGACTGTGGCATCGATTGGTCACCTGCATGTGCCAGTGAGCCATTTCTGGTCAAACGGCAGAAATGAAGACCTCCATGTTAGCTTCCATCATCACAAGCACATTGCTTTTCCTGGGATCCGTTCCACACATACAAAGCAAAGTAGTCAATGCCAGTCAAGTGACATGTCTGTGCAACTTATGTATTTGTTTGCCCTGTCAGGAGATACTGTGTATGCTCTTTCCCATGTATTCGTTATGGGAAAGGAAGCCCGATGCATGCCCTGTCCTGCACATGCCGTGTGGCTGTTCTTTGGAAGCAAACGAAAGGCTCTTGAGAGCTGCTTGCGTCACTCCTGTGTCCACAGTGAACCAGTGGAAAAGAGGCAGGGATCCTGCAATTATTTAACCATAAGGCCCTTTACTCAAGCTTTGTTGCTGCAAAAACGACTGTCACCGTGTGTCAAACAAAGGCATTTTGTATTCAACATGCAACTAGTAAAATGGTCTTTGCTGCATTGATTTCGGTCAGTCTCAATATTGTCTCCTTGGAAGTTGTTTTTGTTTTTGTTTTACAGGTGGCATTTCCTGCTGTGAACATTTATTTGCACTTCTTCTATGAAATCGATGTGTTTGTTTAAAAGGGAAAAAAAAAACTTGTTCTCTATTTATTTTTGTGATTCCCAAACCCTGTTGGTGTACTATGCAATGGGCTTTTGTGGTGTGTCATGATGACAGTTTATGCAGATATCTTAATGAAGTGACCTTTATTTTGAGAATGATTGTGTTGTTGATTATTATATAATATATACAAATATAATGATGTCAAAAGACACTTGGAAAAGAAATCTATATTTACCAAATGTCTATATTTTAATAGATGCATAATGCTTCATTGTGTGCCTTTATATTTACAGAAAAACAGGGATGGGGTTAAAAAAAAAAAGGCAACATCTCAGCTGAATTGTCCATAGGTTTTAAATTGAAACATTAAACCAAAAAAAGAGAAGAAGAAAACTCTATATTGATATATATATATATACAAATAGTTCTTAAAATGACCAATATCAGAAGATCTGGTGTTTTTCAGCACTAAAGTGAATTAAATACAAACAGATTATGCCTTAAGAACCTGGAAATATGTCCTTTGTAGAATAGTAGTTGAAATGAGTTGACTTTGGGGATTTATTTGCATTGTTGAGAAAGGAAAATGGTATTAGATTTCGCAATAAAACTTGGAAAACAACAACAACAACATGTTTAGGGCATTTCCATCATTCTCTGTCTCCCGATCTTTGTTTCTTCCATCCTCTCACTGTCTCAATTCAATGTTTCATTTCAACTGTTTTAACTCCTTCCCCAAGCAATTTTGAGTTTGATGAATAACAGAATAACACAGTTGGAAGGGGCCTTGATGGTCTTCTAATCCAATCCTCTGCTCAAGCAGGAAACACTATACCATTTCAGACAAATGGCTGTCCAATCTCTTCTTAAAAATCTCCAGTGTTGGAGCATTTACAACTTCTGGAGACAAAGTTGTTCCACTGATGAATTGTTCTGTCAGGAAATTTCTCCTTAGTTCTCCTTGGTTAGTTTCCATCCATTGCTTCTTGTCCTGCCTTCAGGTGCTTTGGAGAATAAATTGACCCCCGTCTCTTTGTGGCAGCCGCTGAGATATCAGAATATCTAATATGAGGAATATCTAATATGAGGATGCCAAAATCCATAATCCCCAGAAAAGAATTATTCTTGCCCAAAATTCACTAAGATTGAATTATTATTAAAGCAATCTCCATGAAGAAATTGCATACTTTGCCATTTTGGACTTGGGAATGAATACATAGGTTTTGCGGTACCAGAATGGCACCTGGTGAATGTCTGGTATCTCAAGTGAAATTAAATTCTTTTGTCAGCCACAAGTGGTCCTTGCTGAAATGAACAGAAACTGGGTGATTACTATATTGCAAGAAGAAGATTGGATGCTACAGAAAACTATGTCCAATTTTAGCCAGTTGGAGAGTTTGCCTTGGGCTCTCGGACAAATCAGGCAGTCTCTTTGGGATAAGCATCCATGCTACTTCCACATAGAAGCCAAACCCATTGACACTGACAATGTGAGCTTTGTGTCACATCTTCCCCAAAGCCACCAAGCCCCACACTAAGATTCCCCTCTCCTAAGGACCTATATTAGAAGAGGCTACAGACAGGACGTAAGAGTCCTTCCTGCCTAGCACCATCAGCTGCTGGCAAGGCAGGGAGGAGGAGGAGGAGGTGATGCAGAAGAGCCCTAGAGACATTTGTAACTCAGTCCCTCCTCCACTTGAAGAGCCAAGGACCTTCCTGCCCACACAATGTCCCTCAGTGATCCTACCAAGCTGCTAAGCCTCGGCGTAGCCTTAGGGAAAGTCACGTGACGTACTGATTGACACTATTTATAGCCTTGTATGTGCATACAGTACCATCCTTGTTTGGGCAATGTTTGCAACAAAGAAGAATGCTATTATCTTCTCCCCCATGCCACCCACCCACAAGGCATCCACCAGAGGCAGGCAGTCCATATGCCATCGTAAAACACAGCCCCAAGAGACAGGGGATGCGACCCAGAGGAGAATCACCAGAAAGCAGAAGCCTCAGGGCTGTCTTTATACACAGAGATGATCTTTAGTATGTAATGGTAAGATTTTGTTGAGTCTGCTTAGATAAGATTGCCATGGGTTGTTCTACTAAATTTGGGCTCCACAATCTGGTTCCATTGACTTCAGTATGCCTGTAGGAAGAATCTCCTTTGGTGTCTATGATGTTTTGCAGTACATATACACACAATTATTTCCCAAAAGGAAAATAGATCTCAATTTAAATTAATCCCTTCCTTACCCAGTGTAAGGATACCTTCTTTACTGTACAGCAGTGTTTCCCAAACTTTTGACATATGTGTACCCCTTCTATAATTTTCGTAACGCTGAGTACCCCTCATAAAAAACATATGTACCCCTGGGGGTACGCGTACCACACTTTGGGAAACACTTAGATAACACTGCAATTCTCCGGCGTTTAAACAGCTCCGCGGCTCAACGTCAACTGTTAATGTTCCCGCAGTTTAAAAATGGCCGAACCCAAGCTGCGCGAAGGATGCGCAGAAGTTCCCGCCATAATGAGTTGCGATACGATGTACGATGGCCCCAGTTCCCGTGTAAAAACTGCGATACGCGCCTATTTCCTTGTTCTGTGGGCGCAGCTAAGCACGGTGCAGTGGATATTCCCACGTGATCCCCACCAAACTCCGGTGCAACGCGTACCCCCACCAAACTCTTCCCGTACCCCTGGGGGTACGCATACCACACTTTGGGAAACACTGCTGTACAGTATTCTCAGAGAATTTAAGACAATGGTATGCGAAAGAAACAGATGATCCTTTCAGAGAAATTCAATTTGCACCTACATGTATATACCCTCGTAGACATGAAGATAGAAAATTACTGTATTTTTCAGACTGTAAAACGCACTGGAGTATAAGACGCACCAAATTTTCGAAGAGAAATACAAGAAAAAAAATAGTTTTTGGCCTCCGTGCGCCCGGTTTTTGCCCTCCTCGGCCTTCAGGAGCACTCTGTAGGCCTCCCAAACCCTCTGCACATCCCTTCTTTGTGAAAAATGGCCACATTTTTGGCCTCCTGAACCCCCCACGCATCCTGTTTTTGCCCTCCCCGGCCCCCAGGAGCACTCTGCAGACCTCCCAAACCCCCTGTGCATCCCATTTTTGCAAAAAACAGGCCCATATTTGGCTTCCCGAACCCTCAATAGCACTCTGCAAACCTCCCAAACCCTTTGCACGTCCCGTTTTTGCGAAAAGTGGGCCCGTTTTTGGCCAAAATAGGATGGGCAGGATGGGTTTCGGGAGGCCAAAAATGGCCGTATTAAGTCTATAAGACCCAACCGACATTTCCACCCTCTTTTAGGGGGGGAAATGTGCATCTTATACTCCGAAAACTACACTATTTTAATTGAAAAAATTAAAAGCGCCACAAAACTCTTGTCTTGCATCATTGCTTGTTCAAATAATGCTTTCTATCCCCACCCCCAGCCTGGACATTTGCAGAAAAGAAAAACACTTCATTAGAAAACATGCCAAGGATAAGCCTTGAGTATCTTTAAAATATTTTTTAAAAAGAAAAACAATCATCCCTTAAGTGTATTTAAAATAAATATGTAAAAAAAATTAAAAATACATGTTATTACTTGTTTATATTTTTAAACCCCTTTTGTCACAGGTGATCCCCAGAGGTGCTAATCCAGAATCATAACCACCATACTACTGTAGCTCCATACAGTTTAAAGTGCTAATTTTTCATATGTATTCTTTATCTATTTATTTATATTTACTTATTTTTACTCCACCCAAACTCCAAGAAACTGTATACAGTGTTCTGTGCTCTTTTGCAATTCGCAGTGCAAAATTCATTTGAGCAGGTGATTGATTCAAGATCAGCTACTTGTACTTGTTACCTGAGGCCTGCTTTCCTATTTGCAGTGTCCAGTCTAAGTGACAATTGTTGGAAGAAATATCCTTCTGGGTTCAGTTCCAAGTGGGGAGGAAGACACTGGAAACGTGGCTGATTGGAAAGATGGTTTTTAATGGTGGACAGGACCACATGGTTTGAGGCCCTGGGCAAAAAGCACATGGGGGGGAGAGAGAGAGAGAGAGAGAGAGAGAGAGAGAGGGAGGGAGGGAGGGAGGGAGAGAGAGAGAGGGAGAGGGAGAGGGAGAGGGAGAGAGATTTATACCCTCTATTTAGCTTTTAAAAATAGGGACCACCTTTGGTGGGAAGGTAACAGCGTTCCATGCGCCTTTGGCATTTAGTCATGCCGGCCACATGACCACGGAGACGTCTTTGGACAGCGCTGGCTCTTCGGCTTTGAAACGGAGATTAGCACTGTCCCCTAGAGTCGGGAACAACTAGCACATATGTGCGAGGGGAACCTTTACCTTTTACCTTTATATTCTTGTAAACCGCCTTGAGTCACCCTGTGCAAATGGGCGGCAATATACATTTTCTAAATATCTGTAAACAATCCCAATTTTGCAGTTTCTCATGCCACTTGCCATCCAAAGCACTATGATCAATTGTAGGATAATCAAAGATAGAATGGCCATAACCTTCTAAGCATCTTTGTAGTGTTTGCTCTCCAGTCATATTGGGTCCCCAGCTGAGCTGCTCAACCCCCTTGCAGGCCTTTCAATAGGACCCATTGAGCAGAAAGTGGCTTCCACCAAAACAACACGGGCCACAATCCTGGGCCAGTCTTCACAAAGCTGCACAGCTGTGTGTTACACATTCCTTGAGAGCGCCCACATATTACAATGGCAGTGGTTATTGTTTCTTTTGGGGGTATACAACAAGCAACTGTATCCAGAGCCTGTGATGTAATGAGCAGAAATGTTCTGCCAAGATGCTCTGGAATTAGAGTTCACACTGTGAACATTGTGTCAGAGGGTGAGAGAATGAAAAACAATATGAAATTAAGATAACAAATTGCAGTGAGTGACAGAATACACATTTTGTTCTAAATCTGCTTGACTCCCAAGCCAGTTTGCTACAAACATGTTCAGTGCCAAAGTGGTGGTGTTTTGAACTAACAAATATCTAGAGCCACTGTTGAAATGGAGATTCCCAACACCCATTGAAATCAATGGGATCAGATGCACCAAGGCTGAAGATCGGTAACTAGGTAACTCTTGTTTGCAGGTCAAATTGAATGTGTGAAGATCCAATCTGGGTCGATTACCAGGACCAGAGGTTTACATGTATGTGGCAGTTTCAGAGCCCATTCTCAGGATAATAATCCATGGTCTACAAACAAATCTTGGTTACCATCTATTGATACCATACCTATACCATTGATTTGAAGGGAACTCTCTTTCACATGAGTAATTTTTTTTCCAGGGTAATCAGAAGGTCCTATATTTCCTTCCCTTCCTTCACTGGACAAGTCATGCATATACTTGGCTTCTCGTGATCATGATGACTGGAGTATAACCATCAATTGCTAGGCAGGCAATATGTCCAGCTCTCAAAGAATAGGGATAGCCTTACATTTTCTACTTTATCCCTTCTTTTTTTACACCCACCCAGTTCTAAACTCTAAGAAAGGCTTCAAGTGGCACTACAAGCCCACTAACTAGACCAGGGGTTAGCAACCTGCGGCTCTGGAGCCGCATGTGGCTCTTTCATCCCTCTGCTGCGGCTCCCTGTTGCT